ATATATATAAATATATACAGACAGACAGACACACAGAGATACAGACAGATAGACAGACAGACAGATAGACAGACAGAGTGAAGGAGACAAAGACAGAGCTCTTATCCCTAATTAATAACTACAGAACTTGTTATTCTTACATTTCAACAACACGTCAGAAACATTAAAGACTCTTGTTGCTGAAACAGCCTTCATGACCAACCTAATCTATGGGAGATTTTAATATCTGGATTAGCACATCCTGGTACATTCCAAAGCTTAACCCTTCCAACCCCAGCTATTTTGTGCAATCCCTAACCCCAGTTATAGCCATTACAGCAGTATTTCAAAAAAGGAGGAATGCATTCTAAAAAGTGATGTAGTATCTTTGTAATGAGTTTTAGGTAATAACATATAACAACGCTTTAAGGAAAATTAACAAATATTATGAGATTTGAAGCTTAGCTCTAATTAGGTTCGCTAAATTCGAAAAAAAAAGTGCAAATTCGGTAGCCCCTGAAACTGAGAATATACACTCTTGGGACGGCTGGAGGTACAAGTGCTGCTGAAAATAATATACGCGTAAGGGGTTAGAAGGGTTAGTAGCTAAATAGGGGTTGTATAGGGCATAAAGTGAATACAACGCGATGTAGATTCTGTAATTAATATATTCATTGCTATTTTGGTTTTTGTTGTTGTCGTTGTTGTTTTTGCTGCTGCTGCTGTTGTTGTTGTTGCTGTTGTTGTTGTTGTTGTTGTTGTTGTTGTCATTATTATTATTTTTGTCATTGTCGTCGCCTTTGTTGCCATCGTCGTCGTTGTTGTCGTGGTTGAAGTTTGGTATTGTATTAAGATCAGTATGGATTCTCCTTCTTGACGCAAAGCATCTGGTTCTCAGTGCAATCTATCGATTTGCCGTTCTCTATCTATCTATCTATCTATCTATCTATCTATCTATCTATATATCTATCTATCTATCTATCTAAGACGAACTCGTTAAAATTTTCGACAGCCTGATAAAAACAAAACATGATGTATTAACACATACATTATCAGACTGACCGACGGGTAAAGGACAAAACAAGATAACCTGACAGGGAACACAGTTATTGATTTTTCTTTGTATCGGTACTTGAATAGGTCTTTGATACTGGACTTGAGCTGGCAAGCTGGGTTTTTTTTTTTGGGGGGGGGGGGTTTGTTAAGTGTTTTACGGCGCTCGAAACTGCACAAGGTCATATGAGCTTGCAGGACACACCAAACATTTCCAGTTGGTAGGGAATTTTGAATTTTGCCTGAGTGGCGACAAAAGCCTACTCTTATCGGTTTTAGACCACCGAGGGGTCTTCAATGTGCGCAACTTGCACACGAAACCTCACCTCCCAGATTTTTCACCTTTGTCCGAGAAGGCTAGGGGCAGATCTTTCCTACTATAAGATCAGGGGTGTGGCTGAAAGACAGCACAAGAAGGAACCAAGGAGTAGCAGTAGAAAGGCTGCGAAAAGAGTCAGGACCCCAGAGGGAGGAGGCAAAGGAGTTGAGGGGCTGGGGGGGGGGGGCAGAAAGTGGAGACGAAAGCAGACGACAGAACATTGCTAGAGAGCAGGAAAGGAGGTGAAAGAAGACAATTTAGAGAAGAAAATGTTTCCGTAGCTACACTAATTCGAACCCGGGACCTTTGAATGAGAGGCGAACACCTTAACCTCTAGGCCACGAGAGCCCACCTAAGCTGGGTTTGTTTTTAAAGTATAGGAACTCAATAACACAATTGTGTGTGTCCGTGTAATGACTATTCGTATGTGTACGTCTGTGCATGTAAGTGTGCGTGTTTGCTTGTGTGCGCGCGCTGCGTGTGTGTGTATGTGTGTGTGTGTGTGTGTGTGTGTGTGTGTGCATATTTATGTTAATGTGTGAGTGCGTTTGTTGGCGCACCACTTTTATAGTTTCTCATCATCGAGAATACTTCTCTATCAGTCAGTATCATCCTCCTCCCCCCCCCCTTCCTGGAAAAAAAACGTAATCCCCACTCACCCACCCACTCATCCAACCCCATTCATTTCTCAAAGTCGTTCCGTAGACCAATATTATATTAAAACTAGACGTCGCGCCTCTGTCTGAAATAGTTTCGCTCTTCTGAAAGGGACTTAAAATGTCACCATCCACCCAAAACACTCACCCACGCCCTCGCTTGACAGACAAGGAAGGACTGGGAAACAAACATGCTGAGATCCATGTTGTGTTAACCTTTTGTGGACAGAGTTCAGCCACAGAGTGTGTCGACCCTGTCGAACCAGGCTCAAGATGGATACCGAAGAATTAGAGAAAATACAGAAAGTGCCGTTATTTCATTTTTATTTTATCAAGCAGGGTAGCTACCGTCAACATTTTGGGTGGTATGTAGACAGGAGGAAGATATGTGTTCAGTTAGTTTCAGGGGTATTTCTTCGGGGGAGGGGGGAGGGCGTGTTATTTTTTGGGGATTCGTTTTTTTTTTTTGCGTTTGGGGGCAGGGTGCAGGGGACGTAGGGGGGGGGGGCGTCATTTTTATGCTCTTCTTTTCAAATCTCAAAAAAAGGCGAAAGGGTCTCGTCTTTCTGCACGGTTTTGTTTTTTTTTTGGGGGGGGGGGGGGGTTTGTAAAGTGTTTTACGGCGCTCGAAACTGCACAAGGTCATATGAGCTTGCAGGACACACCAAACATTTCCAGTTGGTAGGGAATTTTGAATTTTGCCTGAGTGGCGACAAAAGCCTACTCTTATCGGTTTTAGACCACCGAGGGGTCTTCAATGTGCGCAACTTGCACACGAAACCTCACCTCCCAGATTTTTCACCTTTGTCCGAGAAGGCTAGGGGCAGATCTTTCCTACTATAAGATCAGGGGTGTGGCTGAAAGACAGCACAAGAAGGAACCAAGGAGTAGCAGTAGAAAGGCTGCGGAAAGAGTCAGGAGCCCAGAGGGAGGAGGCAAAGGAGGTGAAGGGCTGGGGGGGGGGGGCAGAAAGTGGAGACGAAAGCAGACGACAGAACATTGCTAGAGAGCAGGAAAGGAGGTGAAAGAAGACAATTTAGAGAAGAAAATGTTTCCGTAGCTACACTAATTCGAACCCGGGACCTTTGAATGAGAGGCGAACACCTTAACCTCTAGGCCACGAGAGCCCACCTAAGCTGGGTTTGTTTTTAAAGTATAGGAACTCAATAACACAATTGTGTGTGTCCGTTTAATGACTATTCGTATGTGTACGTCTGTGCATGTAAGTGTGCGTGTTTGCTTGTGTGCGCGCGCTGCGTGCGTGTGTATGTGTGTGTGTGTGTGTGTGTGTGTGTGTGTGTGTGTGTGTGTGTGTGTGTGTGTATGTTTAAATGTATGTATGTATGTATGTATGTATGTATGAATGTATGTATGTATGTATGTATGTATGTATGTATGTATGTATGTATGTATGTATGTATGTATGTATGTATGTATGTATGTATGTATGTATGTATGTATGTATGTATGTATGTACGTACGTATGTATGTATGTATGTATGTATGTATGTATGTATGTATGTATGTATGTATGTATCACTTTTACTCACGCCAATCTATCTCCAACTTCCTCCAAGACACGCTCCTCTCTTTAAAGCTGCACCTCACCATAAAACTTGAAAATAGTGCCCAAAGAAATTATAAACTCATAGTTATATCATTTGTCTTGGTCAATTCCAACGTGGGTACGATCATTTTTGGGGGGCGTCTATAACTTTTGTCTAACACCTTCGAAGCATTTCACCTCTTAGATGACCTAAAGTTTGTCTATTTGGATGGACAATATTTAAAATTTAAAAAGAAAATGCTGAACTATCTCGTTATACATACAGATGAGATAAAAAGACTTTATTATATATTTTTCAAAAAGAAAAAAAACCCTCTTCATCTCGTGTTCGTTTTGTTTCCTTATATAATGTAAACCTGGGCCAGTCAAAATATTTAAAAAGTGAAACTGTTCAAGATATAGATACTTCAAATATTATTATGTGGCTTCAGCATTACGAAGCTTAATATCCTAGACCTTTGATATATATTCCAATTGCATACAGTATCTGGCACAAGCTGATATTGTTGGACCCACGTTTTTGCTTTTTTTTTCCAATTCCATTTTACAAGTGTTTCCTTCCATGTAGTCAACATGTCTGTATTACAATTTTGATGAGCTGATATAATTTCTTATATTCTCTATACATTGAATTCTTTACAGTTTTATCTCATCTGCAGACGCAATATGACGCAGTGGAATATCAAGCCAATAAAACTATTTGTCTGAATTTTAGTTAATAGTGCATCTCCTTTTTCGCTTCTGAATCTTGATAATACGCCACCTGGGGCCGTTCGTACAAACTTAAACTAGAAGGTTTCCCTGTTACGAAACTAAAATTAAAATATAACACAAGATAAGATAAGAAAGGTTTTTATTGGTCTCCACAAGAGGGGAATTTATTGCAGCATGTTAAATACAGATAATATGCTCACATACTCGTCAATACATACAGGAAATAAAGAAGAGAGAGAGAGAGAGAGAGAGAGAGAGAGAGAGAGAGAGAGAGAGAGAGAGAGAGAGAGAGAGAGAGAGAGAAAGACAGGGAGAATAGGTAGTAAGTGTTTGTGTTTGTTTGTGTGTGAGTGCTTTTGTGTATGTGCGTGCGTGCGTGTGTGTGTGTATGTGTGTGTGTGTGTGTGTGTGTGTGTGTGTGTGTATGTGTGTGTGTATGTGTGTTTGTATATGCATGTATGTACATGCCCGTGATTAGGCTATATGTCTTTTTGTGTGTTTGCGAGTGTATGTTTTTCAAAAATCCTTTATTATACTTTATTCAGCTTTAAGCATGTCCATTTACCAACCTTTTTGCACCTGACGATTCCCAATTATCACCGAAACATTTTTACGCCGAACTGTTCTCGGGAAAACGCGTAAACTTGCAGTTTCTGAAACGAGTTTGTACCATAACCATTTTCACAATAGTTTCATTTCAGCTGCGCATGATCTGATCCTGTACACATACTTTTATTTATTAATTGATGTTATAAAGCTCTACTCCTGCAGAGTGTACATCTGGCATGCACGACTGAAGCTTCTTGCGTCTTTAATTATTCAAACTGTATCGATTTTGGGGGTAGGGGGTGAATGTGAGGAGGGGAAGTAAAACGTTTACAGTAACATGAAATAGAAACTAAAGAATACTGCAAGCACACAATAAAGACTAATCTTCTACACCCACAGAAACACCTCCTTACCTTGGGACGATAGAGTCAACGACCTTGTTGGCCGACTGACCATCCCACAAATCGCCCATCAGATGGCGAGAGGGGGACAAGGGATATTCGCAAGTCCTGCCCCCGCCATCAATGAGCTCGGCATTGGTCCGTACTCCTGGAACACGGAATGCCTGGCTGGAGATGTCAAGGCAGGGAGCGCCACGGCATTCCCACAACCTATTGGCATGGCTTCTACATTCAGGTATACCAATGTCCACCTTACTTGCTTAGGCTTAGGTTCGGGGATAATAGACTAAACATTATACAACATGATAATTCGAATTTACTCTAGCAATTTCAATTCTGAGATTAAGTCTCTCCCATGTGTTTTATTTTAACATACTACCTTTTTTAAAAACAAATTTAAATAACAACAACAGAACAAACAAAACAAAATAACAAATACCCCCCCCCCCCATTTTACGTGCATAACATCTGTTTTAACAGATCATTTATAGACACCTTGGTTTCCACCTTTTTTTGTAAATCTTTTACAAATACAACGACAGTACAGCCACGTCGTACTGTTCTACGGATACATTTTGGTCCCTGCCTACAATAAACAAAATTGTCCTCTTATTTTGGCCGAAATTTCGAAACTGAACGTTCATCCGTAACAGCTTAAGTCGTCCATATAATATCGTTGACAAGCTATTGAAATGTACCAAGCCCCAAAATCAAAATTTTACAGGAGAGAGAGAGAGAAAGAGAGAGAGAGAGAGAGAGAGAGAGAGAGAGAGAGAGAGAGAGAGACTTGTTTCGTCCTTCTAACAATTGCACCTGAATTATATATTAAAATTGTTCCTGCATCTTTCAATATGTAGAATTTCGTTTTCCTCAAAATGTTTCTTGAGCTCATGCAACTGATCCGCAGATTAAGAAAAGTCAATTAAAAATATCAGAAATTTAGGTTGAGCACATTTTAGCAGCTGGCCAACAATATGCTACCTCAGAATTACACAGTTCTATCTGACATTTCTGGCCTTTTGAGTTATTAGGACCATGAGGATAGAAACGAAATGTCTGTATACTCAATCAAAAGTGTACGTTTTTTGGGAGTAATTATCAAGATATCTAAAGAATTCCAGTTTTAAAAAAAATTAACATATTGTGAAATTCAACATTTTTGGCGCCAAATTTCACAAAATTAGATACTGTAGACTGAACTCTGTAATTCTAGGGCAGTGAACGTTTTTTCCCTCGTTATAGCCCAGGTCTGGTCCAGAGGGTGGCGGAGGCGATCGGCGTTGAGGTGAGGGCCAAGTTCAACGACTTCAACGCCC